AAAGATTTTGTTTGTTATCTGTGAGAAGTTTCTGTAACATCCAGTGTATGCTTAAATCTACCGGCCGACGCCAGCTGGTGACGAACGCATGACGCATGACGTGGGACCGTGTTTTAAGCAGAATAAACATTAGAATGGTTGCTAACAGGTAGTCCTCACCTGCTGTTTGTGACTAGACATATTACTGTCATAAGAACAGAAACATTACAGTTTCCACAAAATCAAACTCTTGAGAACAGAAATAGTAACAATAATAAGAAGACACCTACCTTGAATGCAGTCGTCTCTTATGCGTGTAAGAGTCGTCTCTGCATTGAAGTTCTTCTTGCTTCTTTTCTCATCCTGTATGTTATGGTCAATCTTTGAGCGAACAAAGTAGAACTTTTTCTTCATCTTGTGAATCTCCTGAGCCAGTTTCACATCATTTTCTCTGAAGCGATCAGCTGAGATGATGATGAAGAAGTCAAACTTCTCAAATTCAACATGCTTCAGGTACTGATCAGCTGGAAAGCGGGTGGTGCCAATTCCAGGAAGATCCCAAAACGTAACATTGGGATAGTTTGGATGAGGATATGCAGTGACCTCCATGGTGGTTTCTACACAGCCAGTGGGAGCAGCTTTCTCATCATCATGATCTATGCCTCTAAAGGCATTAACAAAGGTGGACTTACCAGAGCCAGATTCTCCTGTGATGGCAATATTTAGGGGAATATTATCTTGTTTTTCTAAATATTCTTGAAACTTTGCAGCTGCTGCAGCAGTATCATTGTTCATCAGTGCTTCTTTACATTGTTTGATTTCTTCTGGATATGAATCAAATGGATCGTCCATGTTGGTCCTTGAATGGGGAAAAAAAACATGTACAAATTAGCGCACTATGATCTTGGACTACATCCATCCATTATCTACACACCGCTTAATCCTCACTAGGGTCACGGGGGGCTGGAGTCTGTCCCAGCTGACTTAGGGCGAAGGTAGAGGACGCCCTGAACAGGTCACCAGTCTATCACAGGGCTACACTTAGAGACAGACAACCAAGCACACTCACATTCACACCTACGGACAATTTAGAATCACCATTTAACCTCAACATGTTTTTG